GGGTGGTGGTGGGTGTAGTGGAGGGGTAGTTGGTGTGTGGAGGGTGGTGGGTGTAGTGGAGGGTAGTTGGTGTAGTGAGGGGTTGGTGGGTGTAGTGGAGGATTGGTGGGTGTAGTGGAGGGGTGGTGGGTGTAGTGGGGGGGTAGCTGGTGTAGTGGAGGGGTGGTGGGTGTAGTGGATGGTTGATGGGTGTAGTGGAGGTGGTTGGTGTAGTGGAGGGTGGTGGATGTAGTGGAGGGGTGGTTGGTGGTGGTGGAGGGTGGTGGGTGTGGTGGGGTGTGGTGGCGGGGTGGTGGGTGTAGTGAAGGGTTTGGTGGGTGTAGTAGAGTAGTGGAAGGGTGGTGGGTGTAGTGGAGGGGTGGTGGGTGTAGTGGAGAGTTGGTGGGTTTAGTAAAGAGGTGATGGGTGTACCGCTGTTGTTGCTGCAGCCGCCGTCGTGGTACAATTAGTAAGAATCATATAATTTTTCATGAAAATATCACTGGCGGAGAGTAGGCCTGGTTGGTGAGGGAACGTAACTTGACGCCGAGAAAAATTACAGCGCTGGCCTGAAAGTATTTATAGCACTGAACACTTGTTTGCAATTTATATATACAGTCCAAGCTTTAGTTTTTTATAAATTGCTTTTTTATTCAGTATAGTATAATTATTTTTCATACAGTAAATTTGTACAAAGTGACTAATATTTATGTGTTTAGTAATAATTATTGGGAGGTGAATGATGCTTCACAATACAGTCTATGTCATATCCATTAGCCAGAAAGATATATTACCCGGGAAACCCTTGGTCCTGGCTGTCAGGTCATATTGTTTGTTTATTTACTCTTTTTAGCCTTCTGTCACTTAATGTATAGGATGGTAGGAAACAAGAGCATATACACACAGAAAAATCTCCCTTCATTCATTGTCATTCATTACTGTTATAAATGTGCTCCGCAGTGGTGTTCCTCTTCCACAACAAATCCCCAAATCTCTACAGTGAAACCTGTATTTAACGGATTATATGGGGAGGAATGTCCGTAATATCGAGGGTCCGCTAAGTATGAAAGCTCCATCTAATGAACGATATAGAGATGAAAGTCCGTTATCTCAAGGACCCATTAGATGCATCTTCCGGATTATATGAGGAGAGAAGACCGTCATAGGAAGATTTCTTGTATCTGGTTTAGCCCCGACACTTTACTATCAGCAGTACGGCCATCTCCCCAATATTACTGTACGTCATTTACCTACCTCATCCCCTTCACGTCCACTGAGTTCTTCACCCCGTCCTTCCATCTCCATCTTGGTTTTCCTCTCCTAGTATCTACCTCTAAATGATTTAATCTTATTACACGAACTTTCCTTTTTTATAACAATGTTATAAATATGTCATACTACACAAATAGACTTCGATCAGCTCTACGTATTATGTATTGCTTGTTTCTACACCCTACTAATGACTCTCAAGTACACGTTTTTTGTTGTTTCTAATACGCCCTCTCTTCTTAGATGGAGAATCTACACTTCACACATCTACTTCACACATCTATAATTATATCGGTTTGACACTTCTCTTGGTCAAAATATTTTTCAATTCAGGACTAAAGAAACCCGATGGGGTTACATGGATAAGTGTCTCGTTAGTGTGACTATTGTACAATAATTCATTGATTCAGAGTGAGAATTTAAATATTATGTCTGAGAAAATTAGAGATTTTGGGAAAATTGATTAATTATCGGAGATTTATGAAATTCTACACACAAGAATGTTTATGGGTGAGAGTGAGAGCCTTGGGATGACCCTTCAGATGCCACCGCCGAGGCAATCGAGAGTTCAGAATATTATAATCGATGAAGTAAGCAATGAGATTGACAGTTCATATGGAAGTGTTGTGACCATCGATCGGAGATGTCTTAGGTGTCTGTATGATAGGTTCTCAGCAGTCAAAATCTACTCCAGAAGATGACAACAATTTGCAAGCTCATGAATCTTACGGAGCCGATTCAGTCAACATTCGTTCTTGTATGGTGACGGAGATGAGGAGGCCTGGACTCATCATTCGAATTCGAGGCAAAGATGGAATACATTTGCTGGAAAAACCCGAATTCTCCGACAACTGAGAACTTAAAAAGACAACGCTCTGCTGGCAAGACCATATCCTTGATTTTTTGGGATGTTAAAGGGATGCTGCTGATCGATTACCGCATAAAACATGATCATGGGACACTATTATGCTGGGCTAGTGTGAAAACTTCACATTATCTTTAAGATACAACGGGAAATGCTGGTTAGAATTGTGTCTGTTCCACGATAAAGTGATAATCTGTGTTGCACTGATGTCCATTCACAAATGGGCTTTTGAGCAAGTCAACCATTCTCTCTACGGCCCAAATTTTGCCCTTAGCTAGAAGTCCCATCTCTGAATGTTAGGTATTCAGGATGACGAGTTGAAGGAGACTACTGAGGTTCTGTCTGAGGAACAGTCAGAAGACATCTTAAGACTGGCATAGTGAGTGGGAAGTTGCATGTATAGGAAGTGTATGAATGTCAGAGGAGACAAAGTAAAATGAGAGATTTGGTAGTACCTTTTTGTTATATATCTAGTTTACAACACATTTTGATCGCTCTTCAAGTGTATATATATATATATATATATATATATATATATATATATATATATATATATATATATATATATATATATATATATATATATATATATATATATATATATATATATATATATATATATATGTGTTAGCGGGAGAGAGAAGTGGAGAAGACGGGAATGCTGCGTTTAGCACGTTAAAGGGGTAAGATGCAGTTTCTTAGAACAATTTTTTAGGGGGGTCGTATGCATGTTTTCTCAGCACATGAGGACAGTGCTGTCTTTTTTTAGGGGGGTCGTATGCATGTTTTCTCAGCACATGAGGACAGTGCTGTCTTTTTTTAGGGGGGTCGATTGTAATATTCAGAAATTTCAGAGTAATTTCAAACACCGCGCAATTGGCGATACTGAGCTTTCAAGGTCGTCGGAGGGAAGAGAGCGCTCCCTGCACATAGCGAGAGGTTGTGGAACTAGGCCTAAGTGATATTAAATGTAATTTGCCGAATTAATAATGATGCGATTCATGAAGTTAAGGGACTATTATTGAATTTGAAATTATTATAGATCGTTTATCAGTCTGAATAATGTCACGGGTGTCCCAAGGAGTTATTAGTTAGGCGGAAAATATGTCACGTAGGCCTAAGCTAGCGCCTTGGAGAGACGCGACGCTGGCTGGTCCTCAGTCACGTGAAAGTGATTGGACCTACAGGACTTCCCTGTGCGTCCGTCCACAGAAATAGTCACGTGGCCTAGTCACCTGTGTTGCACTATTGCAGTATAACAAGTAAGTCTCATTCGATCTCAGACAGGGTTAGATAGGGCAGTGGTAAAGTTAACAAGAGCTAACAGTGAGTTCATTTCAGGGTTTCCGTCAGAACCCACTTGACTGCGAGAAATTGACTGCGAGAGTGATGACCGCGAGAGTTTGACTGCCGTTTGAGACTGCCGTTGATGATTGAGGGTGGCGATTGTCGTCATTGGACCGATCAGTGTAGGCCTGTCACTGTTTAGCGGGGTATCAAAGGATCTCTTGAGGGAATCTAGCCGTCTGGGTGCCCAGCTGACGATGGGACGATCCTTGGGGTCATCAGCTCTCCTCTACCTCGGCTCACAACACCACATGTCTCGAGCAGCTTAGTGAAACCCTCTTGCTAACGGGAAGCTAAAGCTTCTCTCAACTGTACAAGGTCTGATTGGCTCACTCCCTTCCGTTTCATGGATGTACTGGGGGTAAAGTGAGGCCAGCTGAGTGATACAGGGCCGCACACTGGGGCCAAGAGTCAGTGGAGTTAGAGGTACACTTTCCAAGGTGGAGAAAGGCTGATTTGGGCCTTCAACTACGGGTGCCTGTTGGTTGTGCCTTAAACGACTACGGAGTGCAGGTGGAATCTGTGTGTGTGTTAGGTTAGGGAGCATGGTTCACGGGTATTGGACTCAGTAACGTCTTTATAATTGTGACAATATTTTTGTGTGTAGTTAATACTATTTTTTCAGTTACTAATGTATGCTGTGTGCATTTAAAATTTCTTTATAGTTTCAATCTCAGATATAACCTTTGTTCCCCAGAGTAGTGTTTAAGTTAGGTTAGGAGGTGTGCATCTGTTGGGGTAACATAATTATATTGAGTGCCCTTAAGGCCTATTCATTGTAGAGTATTTAATTTCTTATTTTTTAATACCATTTCCTCAGTGACTGATATTATTTTGTTGAAAACCCTTAAGGCCTGCATCTGTTGGTGTAACATAATTATATTGAGTGCCCTTTAGGCCTATTCATGGTGGAATTATTAGTTTCTTGTTTTTGAATACCATTTTCTCAGTGCTGGATATTATTTTGTTGAAAGCCCTTAAGGCCTGTTTCATGTGTGCAAGCAACATTTCTTAATACTTCAAATTTATTGTTGCCTGAGTTTCTAATAATTTCTATATCATGTATAACTTTTATTCCCCAGAGTAGTGTTTTAAGTTCAAGTTAAGAGGTGCGCATATTGGTGTACCATTATTTGATTGTGTTTGTAGTGTTGGAGGGAATATAAGTGTCTAAATTTTACAGAGTGTCTCATTCATCCCAGTCACAGACGCTATCCTTCCACGGGTCACGGACAATTCATTTTGTTTAGTAGATTTAAGTGCTCTTGTGCTGGTTCGGGATTTTTCTCAAAGGGGCGCTTCCATTGTCATTACCATCTAATAATCTTTAATAAATCCCAAGTCAAGTGAGAAAATAAAGTCCAGTAAATTCCGACCGGTTACATATATATATATATATATATATATATATGTGCATGTTTGTCCATGTGTCCAAGGAAATCCTATGGTTATACTGTAGTGCTGTCCTCAAATATTCCTCTAATATACGCACACATACAAGCATAACAGGATCCACCAGTAACTAATTTTGTACTTTCAGGTTTGAGTAACACCTCCTTCTGGATAGGCGGGCTGAGGCAGAGCCACGAGTTATGGGAATGGGTGGATGGCACGTTCTTACCCTTGGGTCTCGCCTTCTGGTACCCCACGCCCTCACGCCGACCCAAGGAGATTTCAGTGGCCAGACTCCACCGAAACCTGATGCATGGCAGGAGACACGGTGAGGCTACTAATGACATAAGATAACATGGGCTGTATGATCTGAGTTTCCTCTTCCAACTCGCCAGTTTGGCAGATTAACAAAGAAAGACGTGAAAATACGTGACAGTAAATATAAAGAATTAATAAAGGCTATGGTTTGACCAGACTTTGTTTCTCTTAATTAATTTTGAACTCCAAAAAATCGCATTTTTGATGAAAAATATTCAAAGGCGAGCATCTTTTAAACGCTTTAGACAAAAATATTAGTGTTGGTGTTTCGCAACAAGATCATTCTTTCCTCTCCCTTACGCCTTCCATCAATTGAACCACAACAACTTACTTGAGCACGACATAAACCATTCTCTTAGAGGTGCCAGCTATTACCAAGTATGGATATCTGCGAAATACTTGAAACAATTACAGTTTCGAGAATAATACTGTATACTGTACACTCGCGACAAAAACTATCTGCAAGGTGGGGTCCGATGAATGTCAAAATGAACCCTGTAACTCCTGTAGTCTCGGTAGGGTTGTCAAAATCCTTCGTCGTTGTGTCATATTGTCGAGCAAAAATAAGTGCAGATAATCTTTTATCGAGTGTACATAAGCTACTAATTCTTTTTCTTTCATTTAGCAGACATTTATCCTCACTATTGCTAAAACCAATAAAATCCACTCCATTTGTGTTATAAGTTTTCATTTATATAATCTCAATTAATGCAGTGTTTAGTAGGAACCATAGTCATCCTTTTTGTTCTTTACGGCACACACACACACACACACACACACACACACACACACACACATTTTATTACCTTAAAATTAAATATCCTAATGCATAAGTAGCTATCCTAGCTGTGTTGAGTGAGTTGAGCCGCAGATCTATGCGGCATCCAGTGACTGCTGCCTCATAGTCAATATCTGCAACTGTTGTCGGCTTTGGGGCCGATGCTCTCGTTCCCCTGAGGCAGAGCAAAGCAGACCTAAGGAGAGAGAGGGACAGTCGACATCTCATCCAGGCTGTAACATAACTTCTAGGCTGCTGCTTCTGTTCGGATAGCACCTCCGCGAGTCTGGCATAGAAGCATCATGCACTTGGTCCCATCCCACCAAAGGTTGTAAACATCAGAGGAGTGAAGCTACCTTGATCAACGTTCTGAATTCTCTCCCGGTATGCCCTTATCTTGTTATTTTCGTTCCTCCTGTGTGCAGCGTCGAGAGCTAAGTTACGGTGACATGCGGCTATGGGATAAAAAATCCTGATGTCGAAGAAGGCTTGCTGTCCTCGCGTTCAAAATCCTCGAGCACTGATGTCAACACGGACTTCTTTGGATGTGTTTGAAGTTCTATGTTGGAAAATATCACCGTCCAATGGAAGGAGGGTCGGTTCTATCCTGACATCATGACAGATTTCCTTCAACATATTTGCTGTGAGATCCCTTACTTCGTCATGCCTCATGCATATGAAGCCTCCTTTCTTGCACACCATGGCGTGATCGACGTCATAGGAAGAGCCACACACACATTGGGAGGGCAAACCTTCTACTGGCCTACCTTACCTTAGAGCAATGGCATTTGTAAATTCTTGTTTATGGAGACTGAAACCGTTTGCCCTTATCGGTAACATAGTTAACCAGTTCGAGGCGCCCACCTCCTGTGCTATAGCTACTTATTTTTTTCTTCAAATTCTCTGGTACTTGCAGCATCAGTTGCTGCAACTTATCACTTTGGCCGTGCTGACGTTCTGTCGTAATGGACCTTCGAGTCTTGTTTACTTCACTGGTATCCACCTCACCTGTTGCGTTCTGAGCTATTATGTGGTCAGTGAGGGCTGCCGTGAGCTTAACTGAGTTTTGATGTTCGGTGGCAGCAATCTCCTCTGGATTGGTCAATCCCATTCCTCCCAGTCTCGGTGGTAGTGCAAGGAGTGATCTTTCTGCTGGGGTTAAGTGAAGATGTTTCACTAATTAGGGAATGAAATTGACGCTGATAGCTTCTTCCAGAGGGTGGAGGAAGGGTCCGATATCAGGGATAGTGCGCATCAGGTAGTTCCAGCGATGCTTGACTCCATGGGTGAATGCTGCAAAAGCCGCATGTGCTACTACTACTACTACTACTACTATGACCGTCACTCGGAATAGAGCAAGACGATTATCCAGTTAAGAGACATTAAGAGTTTTTAGGGATGTTACCTTCGTTGGTGAGCTCTGAGGTGACTAGAGAGGCCGACATGGGACCTGCAGGGTCGTCTACAGATGTTGCACGTGTGTGTGTGTGTGTTGGGGGTGCTGCATCTATTGCGGGAGGGGCAGCGTTGGCACATTGTCTGCCCCTGTATGCATTCGGGCTAACTCGAAAGTATTGACACCTTCTCGTGTGATGCTCCTCCAAGCGTTACGGTGTGGTGTAATCGTCTACCAGGTGAGGGGTCGATTTGGCACTTTTTCAGGTTTGTCTTAAGACTATCCTTATACCTTTTCAGTTACCCGCCGGTGTTACGTTTACTATTCGTTAGGTAACTGTAAAGTAGCTGCTTTGGCAGTCTACTGTGGTCCATGCGGGTAACAGGGCCAGTCCAACGTAGTTGTTCATGGATAATGGTAGCCTCGATGCTCCTACAGTTGGTGTCAGCAAGAATACTGGCATTTGTTCTCTTGTCTTCCCAGCGAACTCGCAGGGTGGAACGTAGACTATGTTGGTGAAAGTTTTCAAGTGCCTTGAGGTGCCTCCAATATGTGACCCATGTCTCGCTGCCATATAGCATGCCAGTGGGCTTATTTGTAATCCATCTGAGACTCACTGCTTCTCCGAGATCCCCAGCTGGCTTAGCCTGAGCCCACAAAGCACCCAGATACCGTGTGTTGCCACGAGGAGGCACAGAGGAGTCTTGATGGTGAAGAGGCTGTGTCGTGGCAGGGGAGGACTTATGCAAGCTGCTTCCCTGTTCACCATGAGGGCTAGCTCGCAGCGGTAGCTGAAAGTGAGAGGGAGCAAGTAGGCAGCTACCAAACAGGGAGGTACTACCGCCTGGGATAATATTGGAAGCGCAATGTGTTGTCTAATGGTAGACCCTGCTGCCATGTGGCATCACGAAATTTGTGACCAAGTTCCATGTTGCTGATCTGTCTTTCTGCCTCATTTACACACAATTGTAGGGTCTCAATTGTTTCTCTTACATTACAACACAACATACATATAGCGTTTCTCACTATTGATTTTTTCATTCTTGTACAGTATTTCTTTGTATTTATTATTATTATTATTATGACAGTGTTGTTATTATTATTACTATTAATATTTTATTTTGCTTTTTATTATAAATTTTATTTACTATGAATTATTATTATTATTACATTTTCGCCCCCCGGGCCCTTATATGGGTCAGTGACCTGTGCCCGGGTGGGCTAATCCCCGTAAAAAAAAGTGCTTGCACCTTAGCACTAACAAAGTACTGCCACACTAGACGTATTACACCACCCTGTGCGCGCGCACACACACACACACACACACACATATATATATATATATATATATATATATATATATATATATATATATATATATATATATATATATATATATACAATCAACACCTCAACCCGCCAGGATTCGAACCCACGGCCCATTAGCCCTTGACTGCTTCTAGTATCCTGGTGGTCCAGCGGTTAGCGTTCTCTGGTCACAGTCATGGGCTAGTGGGCCGTGGGTTCGAATCCTGGCGGGTTGAGGTGTTGATTTTATGCAGAGGTCCGCGTGCTATTGGGTTAATGAATATATATGGATCCTCGTGTTTCGAAGCCGGATTTGGTAAAACGTTACTCTGACCACCAACGTGATACGGGTAGTCCCCATTAGAGGTTCACGGCGCCATAAGCTCGTTGAACAGGCTTTGTGTGAAAAATAATAATGTCTAGGACTGCTTTTAGTATCCTGGTGGTCCAGCGGTTAGCGTTTCCCGGTCACAGTCATGGGCTAGTGGGCTGTGGGTTCGAATCCTGGCGGGTTGAGGTGTTGATTGTATGTAGAAGTCTGCGTGCTATTGGGCTAATGAAATATATATATATATATATATATATATATATATATATATATATATATATATATATATATATATATATATATATGTGTATATATATATATACAGTATATATAAACCCAGCAACAGATTCTTTTATTTTTAACAAAATGTTTTGACTTTGCTTTGGATCTCATTCAAGATTATTCATAACGTTTCTTTGATATCGCCCATTAGAACAGTGTCGTCTCCAAACAGAAACTGATTCACCTCTTATTTCCATTTACATCCATTATCGTTATTTACCACTCTATGGTAGCGTCTCTCTCGAGCACTGTGTTTTTACCTTCCCCTATTATTGCAGTCATGAAAATATTGAACAGCCACAAACAAAACTTTGACGTGGTCCTTCTTTCACCGGTAACGCGTTTCCGTCTTCCCTGTAGAGTTTAACACGTCCTTCACTTTGTAAAAACTGAGGACAGCGTCCAACAATATCCTGTTTATCTCATACATATCTCTTGTCTAGATCTTTAAATGACGCAAACAAATCCCTCCCTATCTCTAAAAAAAATTATCTGATGTTCATGAACTTACACTTATGATCCACACATCCTATTCTTTTTCTGAATCTTCATTGGTCCTCCATAAAAGCATTCTTTGTTTTGTTAAGATAACTTCAGCAATAACTACAGTTCATTTTGTCCGGTGTACCCAAAGGTAATTCATCCTCTCTCTCATGTGTTGCACTTAAAGGATTTAACAGTATTTTCATCTCGGTTTATATACTTTCTCTCTTTTCTGCAGTTTATCACCTCTTTTATTCTTAATTGCCGTGCCCATTTGCTCCCTTGCTTTTCTCGCCTTATCTGCTGTCGTTCCCCTCACCCACGGCATTAAGACGATAGTTAACAAGTCTTTACAATATCTTTAATTCTATAGAGAGCAGCTGTGCACTTAAGTAGACGATTTTATTCCGCTGAGAGAAACTGCAGCCCTCTAAA